CCGGCCCCTGCCGGGGGGCCGAGGAGCCGGCGCGCGGGCGCGGGCGCGGCGCGCTCGGGGCGCGGTGAGCCGCCGAGGCCGGGCGACCCTGTAGTCCATCGGCCTGCGGCGCCGTGAGCCGCCGCTTCGCGGCGGTTTTGCGCCGCAGGCGCCAGGCCAGATCTTCTGGCCGGAGGGCGTAGCTTTTGTCCGAAGGTCGCGAGACAGCCATACGATGCGCTCCGCTCGATTTGTCTGTCACATCGCTGGTTCGAATCTACGGCCTCTCGCGCCGCGACACCGGGCTCGCCAGAGAGCCCCTACGGAGAGGATCGTGGGGAAAATACGCTTTTTCCCGGAACGACGTCGTAACGGCGACGCGGCGGACCGTTTCGCGCCTCGGCGCGGCGAGGGGCGGTGTAGATCTGTATTCTCGCGACGCGCACGCCAGGACGTACGCCCCGTCCACGTGGGCCACGCGTCCCTTTCGTTGCGCGGGCGTCGGCGCGCTCCTCGCGGAGCGGCAGAACGCGGTGCGGAGCTTTACGAGTCGCCCCCCTAGCGGAGGTCGCGGGGGCCGCGCCAGAAGGTGAAGACGTGGCGGAAGACATCCTCGGGCACCTCGAAGAAGAGGCGCTCGTGTCGGTCGGCCGCGCGCGGGCGAGGCGGGCGCGCGCGACGTCTCCGCCGGCGCGCACCCCTTCCCCGAGACCGCTGAGCGTGTACATACGCTGCGAGTGCGTCACCGGGCCCTGGATGTCGCGCGGCGGCCGCCGGACGCGCTCCCGCCGCCCGAGTGTCGGTCGGCCGCGCGCGGGCGAGGCGGGCGCGCGCGACGTCTCCGCCGGCGCGGACCCCTTCCCCGACCCCCCCGAGCGCGTGGAAGCGCTGCGAGCGCGTCACCGGCCCCTGGGACGCGCGCGGCGGCCGCCGGACGCGTTCCCCCCGACGTTCGGTCGGCCGCGCGCGGGGGAGGCGGGCGCGCGCGACGTCTCCGCCGGCGCGGACCCCTTCCCCGACCCCCCCCGAGCGTGTACATACGCTGCGATCGCTCCGCAGGGCCCGCAGACCCCCCCCCGGCCCCGAGGGGGCGCCTTCGTCGCGAAACGGTCCGCCGCGTCGCCGTTACGACGTCGTTCCGGGAAAAAGCGTATTTTCCGCCTGATCCTCTCCGTAGGGGCTCTCTGGCGAGCCCGGTGTCGCGGCGCGAGAGGCCGTAGATTCGAACCAGCGATGTGGGACACAAATCGAGCGGAGCGCATCGTATGGCTGTCTCGCGACCTTCGGACAAAAGCTACGCCCTCCGGCCAGAAGATCTGGCCTGGCGCCTGCGGCGCGGGCTTCGCAACAAGACTTCATCACTGCAATGTGCCAACCTTGGAGCGATAGAGTATGGCCTGGGATGGAGTGAGACGCTGCCCGAAACGCTGCGACATGTAGTGAGATGGCGCCGCTCAGAATAATCTAGTCCTTATATCACCTCCCCCCTTGCCAGCGCGCCAAACATCCGCTCGAGTTCCGAAATATCCTTCGCGTACGACGTGGCCACGAGCGTCGCGACGTCGTCGAGGTCCCGCGCCGTCTCGCGCGCGCAGTCGACGACCCGCGGCGACGCGTCCACCCCCTGGACCCAGAC